TGGCTTAGCATTGATATAATTTTCTATCCTATCGGATCCGATGGGATTTTGAAAATTCAGTTCGGAGAATGGCGAAAAATCCATAGTTGTATCTCACACTCACATCCTAGCTTAGCATTGATACAATTTTATATCCTATCGGATCCCATCGGATTTTGAAAACTGTGTTCCGGAATTGAACAAATGGGCATACCTACATGTGTATTTTCTTGTTTAGCGTTGATATAATTGTCTTTCGTGTCGAATGTGATAGATTTTTGAAACTGATTCCTGGAAAGGGCTAGAGATGTGTGCGTATAGAGCTCTGTTCGATAATATTATGGTTAGAATGTTGTATCGTGTAAGATTGTATTGAATGTGTGGAATATGGGTGTGGAACTCTTTGTTGAGGAAGGGATGTATGCAATTTAGTGTCTGTTTTTGCTTTCATCGATTGGTAGGCTAGTTTGCGTATGTTTTTGAAAGGCGATGTTTAGTGTAAAACGCATGTAGTTTTTTAATTCATGAGAATGTGTCGTTAGGGGCGAATGTTTAGCTTTTTTTGGCTGGCTTTAGCAGAGATGCTATTATGGATGTCTGGTAATTTTATGAGGATAGATTGGTGCATAGTATTGTTTGAGTTAGGCTTCGCAGGCGGTTCGTAATGGTTTTGTGTATGTGTATATTAGTATTTCGAATTTGTGTGCATTATTTATTGTGCGTTGAGATGTTTTTTTGGTTTTAAATATGGCATTTGATGGATTATGAACAGTTGGAGCGATTCGGCTTCCGTTAGTAACGTTAGTGTTGGCTGCCGAAAGTGGTTTCCGATCGGCTTCCGTTCCGATAGCTGCCGATCGGATGTCGACAGTAGGATCCGATAGGATTGCCGATACCGAGGATTCCGTCACATTTCCGTAACCGGTTTTCCGGGAAAATCCGATAGGATTCGGCCGAATTTGGTAGGAATCCGATAGGATCCGAGACGGAACCTATCGGATCCTATTATCAGATTGGTCGACCTGGGTATGAATGATATCGAAGCAAGTTTTTCAGATCTCAACAAGGTTCGATAAGAAATCGAAAAAATGGGCCGTAAATCCGTCGCTATCACTGCTGATGTTTCTGTTGATAAAACGATCGAAACAATGATGCAAGACGCTGTAAAACAGCTGGGTAGTTTGGATGTAGGCATCTCTTTTTCTCAACTCTTACATCTTTTTTTCTTGCTTATAATACAGGTTGTAGTCGTCAACACAGGTATTGTTCAAGTGAAACCGACTGTTGACATAATTACAGAAGATTGAGATAAGATGTTTGCAGTCAATGTACGGAGTGTATTTCTTTGCTACAAAGAAGCTTCGAAAGTCATGATTGCGCAAGGTACGAGAGGAAAAATCATCGATACCTGCAGTATGGCCGGGTACAAATCAATTCCAATAGTAAGCCATTATTGTGCCAGTAAATAGACTGTGCGTGACTTTACTCAAGTTGCTGCCATGGAATAGACCAAACACAAGATTACAGTCAATGCTTACTGTCTAGGTATGTCTCATACCGTTTTTTTTTAAACATAAATCTAACTATCAAAATAGGACTTGTCGAAACTGCAATGTGGCATGTGATTGATGAAGAATTGGAAAAAGCAGAAGGAGAGCAAAAACGAGAGATCACCAAACACTACTTAAGCATGATAGCTCTTGGTCGTACAAATGAGCCGGAAGATGTTGCAAACTTTATGTCATACATGGCTGGCAAAGACTCTGACTATATGACTGGACAAAGTG